AAAAAGGTAAATTCTTTTATAACACACGTGTAATTTGTGGAGGCGGCTTTTTTGCAAATGTAACACTGTGTGCGAGGTCAGGCTACTTTTTGGAGTAAAGTTGTGCGATAGGAGTGAGAGCAAAAGAGAGAACGGGTGAGAGTGGGAAGCATTTTTTCCTTGTAGTTTTGTGAGATACTTCTCATAATGCTACTTGAATCTGACTTTTTGAGGGGAAAATTTACAAATGTCAGAAATGCGGACTGTTTTATCCTCAGACTTTCATCCACTTACTAGATTTCATATTATATCTAACCCACAACTCTGTAACTCGCTCCATAGATAAACATGTTATGTTACAGCAGCATATTCATTACTGAGACGTGTAAGTATTGTAGATATACAGTATGCACAGCTTCCCTACATATAATGTTTGATCAAATTTAATATGAGAACATTTATGAACGTTTCCACATTCATGGATAAATCATATCATGAGACATAGAAGTTATACAGTGCATACAAAACAAATATTTACTAGTGATGGCAATTCATAATTCAAGGTTTTTCAAACCTTTCATATTTGAATTGTAATAACTATATATAAAATTAGTTTATATTTAAATCAGTGCAGGACCTGAGGAGGTCTTCTGATCTAATTTAAGATGATGACTAAGTCTAATTGACTGCCCCATCCAGACAGCAGCATGAAACAATGCTCCCACTGTGCTTATCCAGCCATGTAAGAGTAATCCAACAACGTAGTGGTGAATGGAGCTCATTTGTTCTGACTTCTCACACCGGTCTCTGTCCAGATCCATGTGTGCTGCAGGACAGTGAGTCCTCGACACGGTTAAATAAAAGGGACTTGATTGCCGTTTATTCCTCTTAATTAGCTTTGGGACCTGCAGTAATTTAACAGCTGTAGTGAAATATCTACATACTTGAACAAACTTATCCTGCTCTAACCAAAGACTATGATGAGGCAAGAAAAACTTGGTCCCTTTGTTCTCACTTGCTGGTTGGGGTTTCTCTTTGGGCCAGTGTGAAGCAAAGCAAAGAGTAATCAGGAGTCTGATCAAGTGACATCATGTAGCCTTGTAACCTGTCCTTGCTGTATATGGGACCCCAGGGTGAACATCAGTTGGAGGTGTGAAAAGGGAGAGTTTTGGGAAACTGAGTGAGGTCCTACATCAGCAACTCAGATGATGCTAAAAATAATCAGCTGTGTTAGTCAATTCAATTCAGTTCAAAGGTCCTGGGTTCAAATCCACTGGCTGGCTGGCACTTTGCTAAGTGGAGATTCTGTGCTCTTCCTGTGCCTGTGAATAACTGTCTGGCTCTCGCTGTGTGTACGCTGGCCTGTCCAGCATGTATGCTTCCTCTTGCTCTGTGACAGCTGGGATAGACTCCAGCCCCACTGCAACCCTGGCTTGTAGAAGCAGAAGAAAACAGATGGATGGCTAAATGAATAAAACTGTGTGGATCAGCTATGAGGCATGCAATGAGGAAGCATTTATTAAACATTAATACTGACACTATGGGAAAAGGAATTTCCCATTTAGGAGTTTCAGCACCTAGGTGCT